GTGGCTTAAAAACTCACGCTGGGTGCATGTGCGTGCGTGCCCAAGATCCTGAGAGGAGAGTGGAGGAGAAGGGATTGTGGCGGGACCATCCCCCCTGGGGGGTGATTTCTCACTTTCTGTCTCTCTGTCTCTTTCTCTCTCTGGCGAGCGCACACGCCCTATAGCGAAAAACCTCTCCAAAAATAAATTTTCCCCCTCTTTTTTGGTAGTATTTTTCTAGTATTTTTTTTCTTTTTGCTTATTTGTTTTAATCTTACTTTCCCACTCTAAGCTTCATTCTTCACACACTGAATGTCTAGATAGGCCTAGGTGCACAGTATCTAAGCATCTGAATACTTTTAGGATCATTGAATTCCTCACCGCTTATTGAACCTCCTGCTTTAATGAAGAAATTTCTTTTTATAAATCTGAACTCCTAATCTTTCTGCAGATACCACATTGTGAAATACAATGGAGGATAGATTTTGTCACAGAATGACCAGAAACAACCACAGAGGCACAAGAAACATGAGAAATAAAGAAAATATCTCTCCCCTAAGGAAAAAGAACTATCCCTCATCATCTACAAACAGTACAGTAAAACTCATGAAAATGTCTGATTCAGAATATTCATAGTGACAAAACTAAACGAGATGCAAGAGCTGAGAGATAATGAACACCAGAAGATGCAGAAGAAAAGAGACGAGGTGTTAAAGTTCTTCCATGACGTGAAAGAGGAAATACACACCATAAAAAAGAATCAAATGGAGTTATTAGAAATGAAGGATGCCATTCTGGAAATCAAAACCTCCCTCAAAAGTATTAAAGGCAGATTAGTCCATGCAGAAAATCGAATCTCGTATGTTGAAGGCAAATCCTATGATTTAGAAAAAAAAAAAGAAAATAACCCCCCAAAATGAGAATACTATACGAGAAATACTAGACACCATTAAGCGCCCAAACATCTGGATAATCAGTATCCCAGAAGGTGAAGAAACTAATAAGGGCATTGATAATCTATTCCATGAAATCTTGGAAGAAAACTTCCCAAATCTAGAGAGGCATGCAAATATCCAAACCCAAGAAATACAAAGGACCCCCAATAGAATCAACCCAAGAAGATCTTAGCCAGACATCATAGCCAGACTAGCCAAATCTACAGACAAAGACAAGATACTAAAATTCGCATGAGAGAAACATTAGGTTACTTATAAAGGTTATCCAATCAGGTTAACCTCAGACCTCTCATCAGAAACAATGCAAGCAAGGAAAGAATGGGGAAAATATTCCAAGAGTTAAGTGAAAAAAAGTTTCAACCAAGAATACTATACCCAGCAATATTATCTTTCATATGGGAGAAAGGACAGAAACATTCTCAGATAAACAAGACCTGAAAGAATTTGCCAATAGCAGACCCACTCTTCAAGAAGTTCTGAAAGGAGTGCTCTACCAGGAAAACTAAAGACACATACAGAAATAAGCGAACAAAAGGCAACCAAGAAAATGACCAATTTAATGCTAGGGACAAGAAATATCAATAATACTGGTGAATGTTAACTTTCATGATTTAAATGGAAAGATTGGACCACAGTAAACACTGCATATTCAACAGAAGAGTTTGAGCATAAAACTGAAATCGTGAAATAGAATTTTATGACTTTTGAGTAAAATATTACTGATTTCCTTTTTTTACTATGCATTGTTTTCTCAATTTAAACATTTTATTTTCTTTTGAGTTGATAGGTTCAGCAATTTGTTAAAATATTTTTGTTTGTTTCTTTAAATGAAAATATAAACTTTTAGTCCTTCCTAACCCCTCTTGAATTGGAACTATTTGGGAGTATTCTTATTTTGTGGCAGAAGGATTATCTTGAGAAAGACTTTGAAGGAAGAAAAAGAGATTAATCTTTGCTAGCATACGGTATATCACAGAATATGTGGTAGGCAGGGCTGAATTGAGAAGGTTTATGTGTGACTACTGTGCTGGGCATTTGCTTTTCAACAATTTGAGTAGTCGACCTGTAAATATTTTCCCAAAAATATTTAAAACCATACCATCTAGGGACCAGCAATTGGTGTAATGGCTATGTTGCTGGACTCCCATGTAGTCCACTGAGGTTCAAGTCCCGGTGGCTTTAAACTCATGCCAGGCGCATTTAAAAATAAATAAATAAAAATAAAAAAACATACTGTCTGTTGTTATACAGTCACAAACAAAATTATATAAAATTATAAGAAATATTTTGAACATTATCTTTAAAAGTCAGTATTCTGAAATTTTGAAAGTTTATTAACTGTCAAAAACTATGGAGCATGAGCAAAAATAATTTTGTTTTAGAGGTTTTGCTATAGGGTGCGTACGCTCGCCAGAAAGACAGTGAGAAACAGACAGACAGAAAGTGAGAAATCACCCCCTGGGGGGATGGCCATGCCACAATCCCTTCTCCTCCATTCTCCTCTCAGAATCTTGGGCACG